GGTAGAGACGGGGTTTCACCATGTTGACCAGGATGGTCTCGATCTCTTGACCTCGTGATCCACCCGCCTCGGCCTCCCAAAGTGCTGGGATTACAGGCTTGAGCCACCGCGCCCGGCCCTTAAATTATTTTTGAACAAACTATACTATAAAATATACATCTGTAGAGGAAAGACGTTAATTCAGTGTTTGTTCATTTGAACTGAAGGCAAAGCTAAAAGAGCAACCCCCGTTCTTGTATTGCAAAAACTGCATTCTCTTGTGTCTGGTAAAAAGGAAGTGCAAAATCCATAGGGATAATGAATTGCCTCTCGCCTGCTCAAATGGTTAAGCATATATCACAAAGGAATTTGTTGGCTGGGTGCAGTGGCTCACGCCTGTAGTCCCAGCAATTTGGGAGGCCAAGATGGGTGGATCACCTGAGGTTAGGAGTTTGAGACCAGCCTGGCCAACATGGTAAAACCCTGTCTCTATAAAAATAAAAAAATTAACTGGGCATGGTGGCGGGTGCCTGTAATCCCAGGTGCTCGGGAGGCTGAGGCAGGAGAATCACTTGAACACAAGAGGCGGAGGTTGCAGTGAACCAAGATTGCGCCATTACACTTCAGCCTGGGTGATGAGCAAAACTCCATCTTTAAAATAAAAAGTGGGGGGGCTAATGCCCTTTTCTGCCTTAGTCCACCTGCACCCAGGTGAAGGAAGAAAAAAAAAGGAAGAAAGAAATTTGTTGTCAGGACAGCAGCACTTGAATATTCTTGAGATTCTTGAAGTAGCCAGCTTACTTTTTAAAATAAAAAAAAAAATCTCATTTCTAAAACTGAAGTTAGTTGCCAAGGAAGCATTGAAGTTTTATGTATTTTATCAAACAATATCAAATGATTATACTCTGGTGAGGAAAATAGCACACAAATTTATGTAATAATCTACTCTAATGAAGATACTGTTTGAATATGCTATACTTGCATGAGTTTAAAGAATGGTTTTTGTTCCCAATTAAATACAGGAATAGCAATATGTAGAAACATAAGTTTAGCAATTGTTCATTGTTGTTTTCCCACCACCTCAAATAATGCTGGAAATATAGTTGGCGTTTAGTAATTTTTTATTGACTAATTGAATGAGTTATTCTGTTCCATGATTCCCACATCTTGTTCCTCACTAAGTTCTTAACACCTGCTACAAAGGATATAGTCATAGGCCCTACTGGTTATCCTACAATTGCTAGGCAATATTAGCAGAAAGAGTGTTGGTGTTGTGTAGAATTGGATTTAGATTCAGATTCTGCCACATTAACCTTTCCCCATCTATAAAATGAGGGCTAGTACATACATTTCAAGGGTTAAATGAGGTCATCTGAGAAAAGTGCCAGGCACAGTGCCTGTAACATAGTTCATATTTAATAAATGCTTGCAACTGTTAGCAAGTGTAAAAATACAGTGATGATCCTAATGATGATGGAAAAGATATAGGTTGGTCAGTCACCACCACGTAAAAGATAACTGAGGCAAGTTATTTTACTGGTGTGATTGCTCTGTAAATGTGACTAGCTAAGGCTAACAACTGATTGTTTTTCAGTATCAGATGATCTGTATCAAAACACTTAATATCTAGCAATCAGTTTGTGGTTAGACACATTTCTGCACATACAGGCTCATAGAGACAGATTCAGAAAAAGCAAAATAGATAAAATAAGGCTTACCCAGGTAGAAGAGTAAATGAGCTATTTGTTGACATGCTTTAGTGGGCTTGGCAAAAGTGGGTAAAGAGGTAAGCTGGAGGATAGATCATATGCAATCTATGCCTCTAACCCAGAAATTGTGTTCCTAGGAATTTGTTCTAAGGAAATATTACAGATATGGACAAAAGTGTAACTATAAGGATATTTGTCACTATAGTATTTAAAAGAGATATAAATGATCAAAATATTCAACAGTAGGGGATTGTGATGTGCGTGTGTGTGTGTGTGTGCGCGCGCGTGTGTATGTATGTGTGTGTGTGTATATATATACATATATACACATATATATGTATGTGTGTGTGTGTATATATATATACACACAACACACACACACACACACACACACACACACACACACACACACATATATATATATATATATATATATATATATAAAATGGGATACTGATGGAATCATTCAGTGAAAAAAGTAGATTACCAAGCTACATGATCCTCATTCATTTTAAAAAGTGAGATCACACAGAAAAAAAATAAGAAAGATAAAAAATGTTGGTAAAAATAACTAAACAATAAAAACATAGAGAAAAAGGTAGCCAAGGGATAGACATTGATGTTCATTTTCTTTTTACAATTTTATTAAGGTATAATTTGTGTGCAACAAACTGCACATATTTAAAGTATGTAGCTTGACTAGTTATGACAAATATATGCACCCATGAAACCGCCAGTTATGATTCTGAACATTTTCATGAACCTCCAAAGTTTCCTTATGTCCTTTTGCAGTACACAGACACACACAAGTTCGCAGGCAACCATTGATCTGCTTTCTGTTACAATAGATTAGTTTGCATCTTTTAGAATTGTACATAATTGAAATCACACAGTATGTCCTCCTTTGCATCTGGCTTCTTTCACTCAGCATAATGATTTGAGATTCATCTATGCTGTTACATGTACTAATAATGCATTTTTATTACTGAATAGTATACAATTGTATGGATGGGTCACATTTTTGTACCTATTCACCTATTAGTGGACATTTGGGTTGTTTCCCAAATTATAACCCACATTTAGCTGTTATAAAGAAAGCTGCCATTAACTTTTGTGTACAAGTCTTTGTGTAGATATGTATTATCTCTTGGGTAAATATCCAGGAATGAAATGGCTATGTTGAATAATACATATATTTTTAACTTTTTAAGGAGCCATCAAACTGTTTTCCAAGGTGGTTGTACTGTTTTACGTTCCCAGCAGCAGTAACTGGTGGGAATATGGCTCATTCTCAAAAGATGATCTGAAGTTGTAAAAGTAAATAAGTTATTGAAACATGTAACATATTGGTGGTAATTAGCCAATATGATAATACCTTACAGGGTTAGTTGTGAGGATTACATACACTAATGCATAAAAAGCATTTAAGCATAGAGGAAGTACTCAGTATTCATTAGCAGTTTTATCTTTATTCTGTTAATTTCTTTGGTTGTTAACAGTGGTAACATTAGTGACTAATTTTGATAGACTATAAGATAAACAGGCTAGACTTTAAAAATCAAAGTCACATGTTGTGCAAAAAACATTCACATTCATAAAAATACTCTTAAACAAAATACAGATTTATTTTTTTCTTTCCAGTAGAGGGGGCAGTGATTACCTGGCATTGTAAAACAAAAGTTGAGCTTGCCATTATTGTAGTTATCATTTTTAATGTAATTTTTGCAGTTATCTCTCAGTAACTTTTTATTATATACTATTTAATTATGCATGTCATGGTCTGCAAAATATATGATCAATTCAGGATTGGTTATAACTTTTTTAAAAAATATATTTACATTGGCTTATTCTTAATTAAAATGTCTTGATTATGCAGACACATCACCTTCACTTTGGGATGTGGAATTTGCTAAGAAGTTAGCCACAGTAAATGAACAACCCCTTCAGAATGGGTTTGAGGAGCTGATCCAGTGGACAAAAGAGGGGAAACTGTGGGAGTTCCCAATTAACAATGAAGCAGGTAAGTGTTAATTTCAGGAGGTTATAAAATTTATTGATTGAGATTATTTCGGCCAGATACTCACTTTTAGAGTGTAGATACTCAGGTAAATTTCAAAACACTTTGTAGATATCTTCATGGTGTCCTAAAAGGAATCTGACGAGATTTTTTTAAAAAAATGTTAGAATTTCACTTATTTTTAGATATTCGATAAGGAAAATGAAGAAGCAAAATGCATCATGAATTTCTATGAAATAAAAAGACTGAAAACTGCAAGTGATATCAGTTTGCTAATTGCTAAACAGGATGTTACTTGGTGAGTCTTCTGTGTATCAAATAAGGGGTCTGAGATTATACTTCAATTTTGGGGAACATTACAACTCTTAAAGTCCTTTAGTCATAAAACCATTGCACAAATGAGGTCTAAGGAACTTGTATGAGCCACTCAAAGCAAAAACATTAGTACGCTGTGAAAATCTTTGCCTGCAAAATATAGTTGCTTTGAACTGGCAACAGAATATGATCTACTTTACTGGGTATTTTTTGGAGATGTTACCTTTTCCTAAATCAAAAGGAAAACAGTATTACCATGATATTTATTTTTTATGATACCCATGTTGTCATCAGTTAAAAATTTTAATTGAATTTATAAATGTATTTTGAATTAGAAAAGATTAATTTATGATAAGATGAGCTAGAAGTTGGAAAAGCCTAAATAAGTCTTTGGAAAATGTAGTCCATATTTTAACCTTCATAATGTTGTGGTATCATTGTAACATCTTAATTTTTGTTAATCTTTTATTTGTTGGATTAATAGGTAGAGTGGAAGCTTAAATATCAGAAATATTTAGTCTTATATATAAATAATATAATTAATATAAAGTGTTACTTTTTATAAGAAAACATTAGAGACTTACAGATTCTTTCAGCAAATTCTTAATATTTTGTATATTCATATTGTTTTTGTTTTTGGTTTTTGAGACAGAGTCTCTCTCTGTTGCCTGGACTGGAGTGCAGTGGCAAGATCTCGCTCGGCACACTGCAACCTCCGCCTCCCGTGTTCAAGCAATTTTCATGCCTCAGCCTCCTGAATAGCTGGGATTACAGGTGTGCACCACCACACCCAGCTAATTTTTGTATTTTTAGTAGAGACGGTGTTTTGCAATGTTGGCCAGCCTGATCTCAAACTCCTGACCTTAGGTGATCCACCTGCTTTGGCGTCCCAGAGTGCTGGAATTACTGGTGTGAGCCAACATGCCCAGCCTGTATATTCATATTGTACCTGCAATAATATAGCATACTGTGTTTCTTGTATTACCTAACCTGTGTATTGCTTAAAGTATGGTTTCTATGTTCTGGAAGTTATCAGGGTAAGGTAAAAAGACCAATGTCTTTTTAGTTGTGCAATCCTGAGTACCAGCTTTGTCCATTATTAGCCGTTACTTGCCTTTGAGGAAATTATTTAAGCTCCTGGGCCTCAGTTTCCTCTTCTGTAAAATAATATCTGATATTAGGGAAAGATTTGGTTTACTCTTTTTTTTTGAGACGGAGTTTTGCTCTTGTTACCCAGGCTGGAGTGCAATGGTGCGATCTCGGCTCACCGCAACCTCCGCCTCCTGGGTTCAGGCAATTCTCCTGCCTCAGCTTCCTGAGTAGCTGGGATTACAGGCACGCGCCACCAGGCCCGAACATGTTTGGATTTCATTATTTGAAGAAACATGGGTGTTCCAAGTCCTCATGGTTAAAAACCTGATTTAAAAACCTAGTGTTAGGCCGGGCATGGTGGCTCATGCCTGTAATCCTAACTACTTGGGAGACTAAGACAGGAAAATCACTTGAACCTGGGAGGTAGAGGTTGCAGTGAGCTGAGGTCTCACCACTGGATTCCAGCCTGGGTAACAGAGTGAAACTCTGTCTTGAACGAATGAATGAAAGAAAGAAGGAAGGAAAGAAAGAAAGAAGGAAAAAGAAAGGAAAGAAGGAAGGAAGGAGTGAGTGATTTTATTCTGTAGAGTCAGTGAAGCATAGTGGTTAGAAGTTCAAGATCCTGAGTGAGTTACAGACTTGATCTCTCCAACCCTCACTTCCTTCATCTCTAAAATGATGGGAATAATAATAGGACTCATTATATGAGATTGGTGTGAGGAGTAAGTCAGGTTAAATAAGTAAAGCATCATCACCATCATCATCCCTGTTTCTACAGCAACAACATTGTGAGGGGGTTTGCTTCTGTAACTGTTTATGGTTGTATACCATAACATTTTATTTTTCTTTCTTTTTTTTTTGAGATGAGGTCTTACTCTGTTGCCCAGGCTGCTGGAGTGCAGTGGTGAGATCTCGGCTCACTACAGCCTCCACCTCCCGGGTTCGAGTGAGTCTCCTGCCTCAGCCTCTGGAGTAGCTGGGACTACAGGCACACGCCACCACATGGGCCTACTTTAGTATTTTTAGTAGAGATGGGGTTTCACCATGTTGGCCAGGATGGTCTCAATCTCTTAACCTAGTGATCCACCAGGTGCTAGGAAAGCACAAACTCATGGTATATTGTCATCAGCCGTGAAACTTTACTTAAGTGCGTCAAAATCTTGAGTGATCAAACTCCAGTGGAATTTATCTTAAATTTAACCTGGTGTCTGAAAAAATTTAATTTCTAAAAAAGGAGATAAACATATTTTTTTGGTCTGGTTGGGAAGATAAATGTGACAACTATCCGTATGACACTGTGCATATTATTGATATTTCAGGGTTGGAAAAGAAGGTGGTGGGGTAACTCATTTCCATAAGGCAATTGTTACCTGGAGTAAAAAGGAAAAGACTGTGGAAACTCTCACTTTGATCACTGCCCTGGGTACACACTTAGAAGCTTGTACTTTGAGAAACTGGCATTGTAACCTGGAGCCTCAACAATTCAATAACTCTCTTTTATATTTCTTACACTTAAATGTTGAGATTAATGAAATACCTTTCTTTCCCTGCTAATAATTAGCTTTATGAAGATTTACTTGGATGCTTTTGGGGAAAGATGTTTTGTTTTTAGTAGCTCACTGGGTCAGTATTGGAATATAATATTGAAAATGACAAAATGACATGTCATGTGTTTACAATTTAGTTCCAAGTATTATGTTTTTCCATTATATAAAAAATTAAGGTTTGTTGTTTTGCCACTTAATGTGTAGAAATTATTTTTCTAGTTTAGAATAGCTTTTTTTCTGTTTCTGTTTTAAGAACTTGTTAGTCCCAGCCAGGTGAGGTAGCTCATGCCTGTAATCCCAGCACTTTGGGAGGCTGAGACAGGCAGATCACCTGAGGTCAGAAGATCGAGACAAGCCTGACCAACATGGAGAGACCCCCATCTCTACTCAAAATACAAAAATTAGCTGGGTGTGGTGGCACATGCCTGTAATCCTGGCTATTTGGGAGGCTGAGGCAGGAGAATCACTTGAACCTGGGAGGCGGAGGTTGTGGTAAGCCAAGATCGCACCATTGCTCTTCAGCCTGGGCAACAAGAGTGAAACTCCATCTCAAACAAACAAACAAAAAAAAGAACTTGTTAGTCTCTTCTCTTGTGCTTTGCCTGCATGGAGATTTACAAGAGCTATTAGGTATATTAGGTGGAATTGTTCTCACTTAGATTTGGTACTAGTTTTATATGTTGGATTGTTAATGGCATTGTTTTTATTGTAGCTTCTACTTTGATTTTAACTAAATTTAATCATATTTATGGCTACCCAATAATAGAGTGTTTCTAAGGCTGGTTTTTATGGGGGAGGGGATTTGCGGTGGGAGAGTGTTGGCTTCTTTAATACAACATAAAAGCATGATCCATGAAAGAAGAAAGTGGTAAATTGAACTATATTAAAAATAAGATGTCTGCACTGTGAAAGACACGGTCAAAAAATAAAAAGACAGGCTATAGAGTAGGAGAAGATATTTGCAAAATACGTATCTGTGATAAAGGACAGTTCTACAAAATATGTATTAAAAATTCTTTTGTGGGCCAGGCGCGGTGGCTCAACCCTGTAATCCTAGCACTTTGGGAAGCTGAAGCAGGCAGATCACCAGAGGTCAGGAGTTCAAGACCAATCTGGCCAACATGGTAAAACCCCATCTCTACTAAAAATACAAAAAATTAGCCAGACATGGTGGTGGGCACCTGTAATCCCAGCTACTCAAGAGACTGAGGCAGGAGAATCACTTGAACCCAGCAGGCAGAGGTCGCAGTGAGCCAAGATTGCGCCATCGCACTCCAGCCTGGGCAGTAAGAGTGAAACTCCATCTCAAAAAAAAAAAAAAAATCTTAAAGCTCAACAATGAGAAATGAAAAACCCAGTTATAAAATGGCAAAATATGACCGGGCACAGTGGCTCATGCCTATAATCCCAGCACTTTGGGAGGCCAAGGCGGGTGGATCACTTGAGGTTAGGAGTTTGAGACCAGCCTGGCCAACACGGTGAAACCCCATCTCCACTAAAAATACAAAAATTAGCCAGGCATGGTGGTACACACCTGTAATTCTAGCTACTCAGGAGGCTAAGTCATGAGAATCTTTTGAACTCAGGATGGGGAGGTTGCAGAGAGCCGAGATCTTGCCATTATACTCTAGCCTGGGTAACAGAGCAAGACTCTGTCTCAAAAATAAATAAATGAGAATAAAAATAAAAATAAAATGGGCGGGGGCATGGTGGCTCATGCCTGTAATCCCAGCACTTTGGGAGGCTGAGGTGAGCAGATCACCTGAGGTCAGGAGTTTGAGACCAGCCTGGCCAACGTGGTGAAACCCCATCTCTACTAAAACACAAAAATTAGGTAAGCGTAGTGTCACATGCCTGTAATCCCAGCTACGCGGGAGGCTGAGGCAGGAGAATCGCTTGAACTCAGGAGGCGGAGGTTTCAGTGAGCCGAGATTGCGCCACTGTACTCCAGCCTCGGTGACAGAGCGAGAATCCATCTCAAAAAATAAATAAATAAGTAATGAATAAAATAAAATGGAAAAATACCTGTTTAGATACGTTACCAAAGAA